CACACACACTCCTCTCTGTCACTCTTCCTTCATTAATCTAACTGTTGGAGCTCCCCCAGACTCTGTTCTTATTCTGCATCCTCTTCTAGACTTTAATTTTACTCCCATGCCTTCTTTAGCTGCAGCTCCATCAACAGCTTCTGCGCATGTAATTCTAGCGCTGATGTACTGCAGAGGTGCAGCCTCATACACAGTATGCCTTTTCAAAGTCTGACTTTCAAAGGAACTGGATCCTGGGTACCCCACAGCTCTGATCCTAATTTCAGGGTCCAAAACACTTTTCCTTCTCTTGGCATTCTATATCCTAGAAAACAGCATAATTCACCCAGTTAGTGCCCCAAAGATGGAGATTCCTTGGATTTGTCTCACCCCTCCCCACCGCTTGTCTATCCCCACAAGAAAATCCTGCCATTTCTACACTACAAACATCTGGGTGTTTCAGTTTCTACACATGTATTTTAATCTCCTCCCTGCCAAGCTAGCCTCACCTCCCCTTGCTGTTGTGCAGGCTCCCTAAGGTGACTGCCACCACTGCTTCAATTCTCAGATGAAGTAGATCATTATGTCCCTGTGATGGTTTGAATGAAAATGCCTTCCATGGATCATGGGAGAGGGTACAGGGGAGGGTAATGGAGACAGCTAAGAAAATGGTCCCCATAGGCTCACGGGGAGTGGCACTATTAGGAGGCGTGGCCTTGTTGGAGGAAGTATGCCACTGGGGACAGGCTTTGAGGTTTCAAATGCTCAAGTCAGTCCCAGTGTCCCTGTCTCTACCTGCTGTCTGCTAATCCGGATGTAGAGTGGTCATGTGGTCATGGTGTCTCTTCACAGCATTAGAAACCCTAACTAAGACAGCACCCACCATCTACAGTGCCATCTTACCCTCTGAACGTGCCCCCTCACATGTCAACACCAGTTTGAAGCTGAGGATCTTTATGATGTATTCTCTTCTACAAGTCTCATGTTTGAAATTCACAACCCTTTTCTTCATAGTTCTTCTATTCTACAAACTAGTGTTTGCCACTTGACTTCCACACCCATGAGTTCGCTCATAGACTGAAAAACATTAAGCAGAATTCTCTGCACTGAACACCAATATACTTTGGTCACTGTCACCAATACAATGTAGACAACATCACAACAATTTAGATTATATTGGGCATTATATAGGTAATGTTCAGATGAATTGAATATAGTATACAGCAAATGTTCATAGGTCATATGTGAAGAGTGCATAACTCTGTATAAGGGACCTGAATACTCCCAAGAACAATCGGACAGGGGCTCCCAGAACCGCCATTTCCCTCTTTCCTGATTCAGGTGATGGGATCCTAGGACAGAATATCTCTGTTTGCTAGCATATCACCGTTGGCTTTCTTCCTCATGCCAACGGGATGCAAATAAGACAAGCTTACTATAGCTCCCCCGAACAAAATAGCAAATGAGTTTTTATAGAAATGGTGAGAATGGAATGAAATGAACGCCTTCCTGCAGTGTGGCTAGGAGGAGAGCATGGCGTCATCTCTTTGAGGACCACGTGATAACGTGCGCCCTTTACCACAGCTGTAGTAGCTTTGTGTTAGAAATACCTTCTAAGCTGCAATGCACAGGCAAGCTTCATGTGTATTCATAGTCTCCTGGTATCCATTACAAAACTCAAAAATTAAAAGTAAACTGTCCAAATCCCAACCAATCTGAGAAAATCTAATGATTTTGTCAAAGTTCAGCCATTTGGGATGGTTTATGACACTCAGCCACAACAAGAGAGCATCTTTGTTTTCAAAGAAGCAATCTGATGTGCCACCTGATGTAAGGAAGAAAAAGTATGCACCCAAGTCGATCGACACATCCAAACCTTGCTTTCCTGATGCACATGAGGAATTCTTCAACAGTCGCTTTTCTCTCCTCTAAAGCGTGCTTACTATGGCCTGCATTCGCATAGCTCATGCGGGCGTACTAGCATGGGTACACTGTATTATGTTATATTATTCACTGTTTTAGCTACGGATGGTACCACGCTGAGAAAAATAAAACAGATAAGATCCTTGCTTTGGGGGGCCAGAGAGATTTCAAAGGTTAAGAGTGTTTAGTGCTTGGGAGGCAGGTTTGGTTCTCAACACCTACCTCAGGCGACCTACAGCCTTCTGTAACTCCACTGCCAGGAGACCTGAGACCTTCTGGCCTGAGGTCACCTGCATACACATGATGTACACGGACTTATACAGGTGCATACATACATATTAACAAAAATAAATTAATACATCTTTTAAAATAGCCCTCCTTCCATAGATCCTCAGTCTCGCTAAGAAGATAAACAAACTGTTATCCACCCCCCTGCTTGTTGCCTGCAGGTCAGGATGCAAGCTCTCAGCCCCAGGCCTGCCTGCCTGCCTCCATGCTTCCTGCCATGATGGGAACGGACAAACCCTCTGAAACTTTGTATAATGGGGATCACACTGAAGCACGTGGAATGAACGATTCGGCCTTTACCTCCCACAACACTGAACTTGGCAAAGGCGTTCTGACGAAAGTTTCAGAGTGCCGCTGAGTATGAGGGGACTGAACACAACAGACAAAGAAGTCAGTGACAGCAGATGGCTGGACCGGCATAGAGAACAATAATGAAATAAAAGTTGGGAGTTCCCAGACATCATCATACAGAAGACAAACACTGCTGGGTACAACTAACCAGTTAGTTCCAGTGCTTACCACAGCTTTGAGAAGGAAGTTTTAAGATACAATCAATCCATACTCTCTCTGTTTTCCTCTTTCTCAATCAAGAGTAAGAGTCAAAGAATCTCATAAACAAACAAAACTTTAATGGCCAAGTCTTAGGGTTAGCTTGCCTTGCGTGATATCCCTGAAGCAAATGTTTACTGGAACACACACACACACACACACAATATAGTGTGAGCAAATGTGACTAAAACATATGGCAGAAGATGCAAAAAGGAGAACGGAGGGTGCCTGTAAGAAGGTGGGGGAGCTGCTCAAAAGGCAGTCGCGGGCCTCACTGGTTTAACCTTTGGGAAGAAACCGTGAGTGGACGACCACGCCACGTGGCCAGCTGTGCGCGCGTCGCAGGCAGAGATGAACAACAGCAGGCACACGGGTCACGAGACCACAGCAAACAGCCATGCTCTGCTTCCACCGTCTGCGCTTTAAATATCCTCAAAGGCACATTTGGTAAAGCCTGGGACCCTACTGGAAGGTGCTGGGACCTGGAGTAGGTGGGGTTTACTAAAAGGAAGTTAAGTCAGTGGAGACATGGCCTCAAAGGGGCTATGAGGACTGGAGCTCCATCATCCTTCTGAGCACCGCCTGTGTGGTTCTTCCTTGCTGCAGTCCTGTATGCAGTAGGCCTCAATGGCCATGTCCTGAAACTTTCGACACTATAAGCCTGAATAAACCACTTCTCTTTTAAAGTGACAAACCCAGATATTTTGTCACAGTGACAAAAAAAAATGACTAACTACGTTTTGTCAAGGAATCAGAGACAAGCATTTTTAAAAGAAAGAATTTATACAAAGCTTGCCCAGTCTCACAAGAGCTGCCAGGAGGTCAGGAGCCAGCAACAGCTTCAACTGTTACAAGGTCAGTTAGCTATCCAAAGGCAAACACACACACACACACACACACACACACACACACACACACACACACACATATAAATGTTGTATGTGTGGTGTTAGATGATAGATAGATAGATAGATAGATAGATAGATAGATAGATAGATAGGTAGATGATTGATATCACAAGTAAACCAAAACAAGATCTTGTATCCAGCAAAAATGACTATATGAAAGATGTCCTTAATTGTTTCTAATTGCTTCCTAATTCTATCTAGAAACAATTACTGTGCATTTTTAAAACAGTGTAATAGCTTTGTTTGTGAAAACAAGCTTTTCGGAAAGATGAATAAATTTTACTTCAAAAACAGTTAAAATAAAAACAACAAAAATATTCACTTTTGAATTGAAAGGATTTTAAATTTTTTTAAAAAATCATTTCCTTAAATTCCATTCTCAGTCTAAACCTGGAATTAGCTAGACCACATACGCCGCTCGCCCTGGTCTTCCTGGTGTGTAGGGACTTGCAGAACAGACCTGCACAGGGCCACCAAGCCCCCCAGAGGCTCTGGCACACACCTGCTCGTGACTCTGTTTAGCACCACAGAGAAAGGTTTGCTTAGAGAAAAGCTAGGACACGGCCAACACGAAGACTAACCCACTCCTTTCTTCACAAACCTGCTGGTCCTCTTGAAGGGAGGTCACTCACGGGACACCGGAGGTGGTGAGTGCTTGGCTAGTTTTACAGGCCTGTCTGGAGATAAGAGGCCAGCTGCAGCTTCACCTGACGCAAGGTCAAAAATGAAAACAAAACTGAAGGAAGCAGAATGTTGCAAACAACTGAAAACAGAGAAAAATAGAAAAAAAGGGGGGATCTACAAATCTAAAAGATGCCCTGATGCACACATCTGGGCCGAGGTGCTGCTTGGCTCTGTGCAGTTTCTGGTCTGTCTGTCTCGGTCCCTCTCACGTAAGCCCCCACGGTATGTTTGTAAAGCAGGCAGTGAAGTTAGTTACACCTCTGCATTTATCACCATCCCCTTGAGTATTATTAACTTTTACACTCCCCATAAAATATAATTTATCACTAAAATAATTTGCTTTGTGTCAGGGTTCAGTGTGCTCCAATGCTTTCTTGCTCATTAAATGAGATATTTTTACTTAATGAGCCAAGATGGCCTTTGTACTTAACATCTGAATTGATATCTAACGCTTCGTTTTTTGCAATAGTTTGTTGTATAATTCCAAAAAAACACGTGGGTTCTCGTTTCACAGTGTCAAAGAAAATCAATTCGGAAACTTGTTAATTTTGTGTGATGCCTTAAATGGTAAGGAATGGTTTATTTGTAACTAACCATTAAGATCACATGAAAAGTTATTTATCTATGCAACAATAAAATAATGTTCTTATCTTTATACCCGTAGATTAGTGTATCTCTCAGCCCTCATCAGCGAAGCTTCTTCTTGCAATAGACGATGATTAATGTGCTCACACTGATCAATGGGCAGAGAATAAAAGGCTGTGGTGTATTTACCTGCAAATGTGACTATCTATAGCACACCCCTCCCTCCTCTGAGGCTCAGAGACCATCTTGGAAGAGGAAGTAGCAAGACTGGAAAGACAAGAGGTAGTGAATGTCTGCAGCAAACCGTATCCTACAGATAGGGAAATCCTGTATACATGAACTCATAGCTGCTGTGGTTACATGTACGAGACCCGCAACAGATAACTATTTGTTTGCACTAGAAAGTAAGTAAAGGAATTTTAGGATGGATCCATGAACTGATTGCTCAAATGTTAATCTAAAAGAAAGTTATGGTCTGATTTAAAAAAAAAGGATGTCAAAGTTGCTGCACTAACTGAGCAGCCTGCACTGTCTCCAGCACGGTGGCCGCTGCTCTGGTCTGGCACTAGGAAAAGGAGGATTTTTTTGAAGATGGAGAACAAAGTAGTTTAGTGCTTGTTTCTATTTTGTAGAGTCTAGAGAATTTACGTTTCTTCTGCTAATTTTATACTCAGGATTGTTTCCTGTTCTAGAGTCCCCCTCTATTCTTTCAGATTCATAAACACGGTGGTGGTTTGAAAGAAAATGACCCCCAAAGGGAGCGGCACTATCAGGAGGTGTGGCCTTGCTGAAGTAGGCTTGGCCTTGTTGGAGGAAGTGTGTCACTGTGGAGTGGGCTTTGGGTCTCTTCAGCTCAAGTTTTGCCTGGTGTGACATACAGTCCACTTTCTGTTGCCTTCTGAGCAAGATGCAGCCAGTAGCAGTCTGCCTACACATTGCCATGCTCCCTGGCATTGCCATGCTCCCTGGCATGATGCTAATGGACTGAACCTCTGAACTGTAAGCTGCCACCCCAATTAAATGTTTTCCTTTATAAGAGTATCGTGGTCATGGTGTCTCTTCACAGCAATAGAAACTCTCACAATAGCCCATCAATCATCTCATCCATGAACAGAAAATAACTAGACCTTCCGGACCTCAGGATACTGGTAGGGCAGATTCTGTCTGCAGTTATTTCTAGGGTGTTAAAACTTAGGAAGCAATGCCCACCACAGTCCTCACTGATAGATTCACAATGCATTTTAAAGCGACAAGAAGAACTGGGGGGTATAGCTCAGGGGAAAGTGTGCTTTCCTTAAATGAACAAAGTCCTGAGTTCTAACCCTAGTATTCACATACACACACACACACACACACACACACACTGATGCCATAGGAGATTCTGCAGAGAATGAATATGTTTATTCCAGGGTTTCTCACACTTAGACTACAGAAACTTTGGTTCAGCTATACCTTTGCACACCATCCTCACAAAGAGTTTCCTCAAACTGAGTCTAAGAGAAAGATAGGCCACTGGATTAAATAACTTCTCACTGATTAAATATATATGAAAGAAAATAATTCCTCCAAGCCCACATTGCTGACTCAGATAAGTCGCTATCCACAACCCCAAGGACTGATGCTATTCAGAGTGAGGTTATGAGTGTGACACCCTCTGGAGTCACACTGGGAGAGTTCTAGGACTCCAACCCCTGTTTGGATTTTCCAGACTTTGAGGATTATAAGCAAATAGACCACATCTTCCCTATACCTAAAGCCAATTAATTGGTTTACATATTTCACCAGATACATAAATAAATTAATTATAAGTTAATGAGTAAATTGATTTGGATTATGAAATGTTTCACAAACATATATTTATTATCTGTATCTCTGGAGTCCACACCCTGGAGGATTTAGCTTTAATAAATAGAACAACAGGTATTTTTAAATTAATGTATAAATGAAATTCAGATAATATCACTATTATTCACTTGTTTTTAAGATATTATTTTAATTACATTTATAGGGAGTTGCATATGAATGTAGGTGCCTGAAGAGGGTACCAAATCCTCTGCAACTGGAGTTGCAGGAGGTTATAGGTCAACTGATGTGGATGCTGGGAACAGATCCCAGGTCTTCTGCGAGACGAGGAGTAGATGCTCTCAGTCACTGAGCCTGCCTCTCTGCACCCACAGCTAAGGGTAGTTCTCACCCCCATCGAGGAAATTTCTCTTGGCAACAAACAGACTCCTTAGCAGAAAACCACAACCTTTTAAAATGCGGAGTTGTAGAGTCCAGCCCCAGCTGATACATCATCTACAACATAACTCCTGCACCTACGGCTCAGGGATGATTGTCAAGGAAGAGACAGAAGGATTGTATGAGCCAGAGCCAGGAGAAACAGGAAGTGTGCTAGAAGATTCTGTCTCCTGGGAATGTCAGAAGCTACATCCATAAGGTTTCACAAGCATGACTGCCTAAACATGGGCTGAATAAGGGTGACACCATGGTAGCATGGATGGAAAGCTGGGAGAAGTTCACGAGGCCTCAACCCCACACAAAGAACTACAAGTAGCTCAAGGATTCTGAGGGCAGAAGACACAGCCTTTCTGGACCAAAAGGTCAACCTGAAGGGATAAACATAGAAATACATGCTTTATATAGCGGCATAGTTACAGACTGAGCAGGCCACATTTATGTGTTTCTGAGCATGTTTGTGTATATGTGCATGCACACATGTGTCCGCATATAAATATATGTGTAACAACAATAAAAGGAAAAGAGACCGTAAATTTGAAAGTGACCAAGAATGGGTAAATGAGGGGGTGTGAAGGAAGGAAAAAGAAAAGAAAGATGATGTAATCGCATTATAATCTTGAAAAAATAATCAAATACTAAAACTGTCCTGATTCAACTGTTTTCAAGGATTAGCATGATCCAAAATAAGGAAAGTTTAGTAAATCTTGAAAACTTGAGCCAAAATATAGGCTAAAGAAAAACAGGGCATTATAAATTACTTGAATCATTTTTCAGCAAAATTGATTCCCATGTCCTAGCTTCCTTTGATCATTGATGAATCGCTTTTTTAATATAAACAGAGGCCCTTTCAGTGGCACACAGTAATGCCATTTTAGAAAATGAAGATTGATGGTTTTTAAAAGAAAACTTGCGGTTATCTAACGTACTTCGGTCTTGATCCTGTCGAGGGGCGGCAGCCGTTTCTTCACTCTGATATGTACAGCTCAGAAAGGCAGTTAGTCTCGTGTCGTGTCCATAGGAATGGCTACAGATGGTGTCATTAGGAGCCCATGTGCCTGTGTGTCTTCCTATAAGCCTCACTACGTCTCCAAACCCTTTATCCTCCTGACAAAGGAGCACAAGGCAGCCTCTTGTGCCTCCTTCTGCTCTAGCTGGCCAGACATCCTATCCGCGGGACGCAGGAATGTCCCAGGCAAACCTCTCTATTTCCTACATGCTATTATAATTACCTCTTTATTCGTTCCTCTGTGGGATCTCAAAGTGGTGGGTAAATAAGTGATATGGCCAAACTCTCAGAGGTGAAATTACCATGCCATTCCCTCGAATGGGAAATAAAGGAATCTGGGGAGAGCAACTTTTTAAAGAATGGAGCAGCCTGTCCATGGGAATGCTGAGTTTTTCTTGGGAAAATGGTTCTTTTTCTAGTTTTTAAAAGTAAGTTTGAGTTATGGCCATTTATTTTTCCAGAATGGTTTCTATTTAGTTTTAATTTAAGTCAAGTATATGAGTTGAATATAATTCTCCAGATTTCAGGAAAGATACTTAGTAGTTGATAAATGACAGTGGGATGGGAGGAATGACTTCTCATATTGTATGGCACAGAATAATTATGAGCAACAGCAACTAACTATTTCAAGAGAGCTAGTAGATAGGATTTTATAATTGTGCACACAATGAAATAATGCATTTAGGATAATGGCTATGAAAGTTACTCCTTGTAGACAAGCACTGGGTTTTATGTCATTATTTGTTTATTTTACTGGAAAGAGAGGAGTTTGGATTTGGTTTGTTGTTTTATTGTAAGACAAGATCTCATTATATAGCCCAGATTGGCTTCAGATCATGATCCTTCTGTTTCAGCCTTCCACACGCCAGAATTCTTTGTGTATGCCACCACACCGGATTTTGTATACAAGTACTGAAATATTAAAGCATCTCCCATAAACATATAGGTGTCCATGTGAAGATAAATAAGAACACAGGAGGAAAGAGAGCCTTTTCAACAAATGATGCTAGAAAAACTGGGTACACACGCCCATAGGATTGACCCTAGATCTATACTTCTCACCCTGTACAAAAAAGAATTCAAAAAAATGCATCCAAGATCTTAAATGAGACCTGAAATTCTGAAACTGCTTTGGGGAAATATTTTGAGATACAGGCATACACAAGAACTTTCTGGAAAGGACTTCAACAGCTCTGAGAATAATTCTAAGAATGGACAAAAGGGTTATAAAATGAGAAAGCTTCAGCCCAGCTAGGAAACAAGCAAGTGAGGAGGCAGCCTTCAGAATAGGAGGAGGCAGCCTCCAGAATAGGAGGAGACGGCCTCCAGAATAGGAGACAGCCTCCAGAATGGGAGGAGACAGCCTCCAGAATAGGAGACAGTCTCCAGAATAGGAGGAGACAGCCTACAGAATAGGAGGAGACAGCCTACAGAATGGGAGGAAACCTTTGGCCAGCTACGTATCTGGCAGGTGATTGATATCTAGATCTATGAGTAACAGCCAGGAGCAAGTGCAGAGCTGCACAGCCAGACTGCTGAGGGCAGGTACTGAGATCACAACTGGACATTTCATGGAGAGAGTCTAAACTGGAGGTTTCCATCTCGTCCCTCCCCCTTGGAGCTCAGGGAACCGGTGGAAGGAGGAGGGAAAGATTGTAGGAGTCAGGGGGGCTGGAGGACACCAAGAGAGCATGCCCCACTGAATCAACTAAGCAGGGCTCCCATGGGCTCACAGAGACTTAAGCAGCAAGCACGGGGCCTGCAGGCAGCAGGTCCTCTGTTTATGTTATGGCTGTTAGCTTGGTGTTTTTGCGAAACACTTAACTGTGGGAGCGGGTGTATCTCTGCCTCTCTCACCTGCTTTTTAGATTCTTTTTTCCTGCTGGATTGCCAGCCTTGACATGAGGGCTTTTGCCTTGTCTTATTGTGTCTTGTTTTGTCGTCTTTGGTTGCTGTCTCCTGGAGGCCTGCTCTTTTCTAAAGGGAATCGGAGGGAGAGGGGAGGTCGGGGAAGCTGGGAGGAATGGAGAGAGGGGAAACTGTGGTTGGGAGGCATTGTATGTGTGGAGAACCTATTTTCAATTAAAAAAAAACTATTTAACTAAATTCCAGAAAACAGAACCATCCAATCGGTAAATGAGCAAATGAAATGAACAGTCCTCAAAAGATGAAGGACAACTGGTTAACTAATGAGGGAGGGGAGTGTGGTGCTCAACATTCTTCGCTACCAGGGACACAGAAATCAAAACTACACTGAGGATCTACCTCAACTCCTGATGGAATAGCTATCATCAAAAAAAAAAAATTCTGGGAAGATAGGAGGTTGGTAGGTGGAGTTTACACATCATGGTGATGTGGTGAGACTATGAACTAGACAAGGCACTATGGAAATCAGCATGTACGTTCTTCAAAAACCTAAAAGGGGATCTATGAGAAGACCCAGCTATAGCACTCCTGAGCATGTACCCAAAGGAATCTGATTGAGCACAGCACACACACACACACACACACACACACACACACACACACACACCAGCTCAAACATGCCTATTGCAAAGACACTCACAAGAGAAAAATTGTAAACTCAGCTTCAAAGGACTTATGGAACACAGAGAATCACAAGGAAGAAGAAAATCAACGCCATTCACAACAGCGGGATGAAACTATTGAACATCACTTTGGGTAAAATAAGCCAGACGCAGAAAGACAAACACCATGTTTTCTCATATATCAGAACCTAGGAGAAGGCATGCTGGGAATGGAGCCCCACTTTGTTACCTGGACCATGGACTTTTTCCATGGGCTCTATATTTCAGTGGATGTAGAGGAAAACAACCACTAAAGACAAGAAATCTCTAGCCCTGTCACAGTCCTCCTTCTGTTATAACTCCAATGTTTTCAGTACCATCTTCTGATGTCTCATAAAAAAAAAAAAACCTGAGCCCCTGTAACATCTTATTTATTGATACTGTGCTTTACAGCTTACCTCGCTCATGGGGAAAGACAAGGACAAAAGTATCCAAAAGTATCCTCTCAAAATTCTCTAAAATTATCAAGAGAAGGCAGTCGGAGGCTTGGCTGCTTCTGGCTTTCAGGCGAAGCTGAGTGGATGGGGTGAGAGCCTGATCTTCTACCGTCCACGTCATAAACTTAAACTTTGTGCTGCTGACTTTGATACAAAAACACAGTTCTTTTAGGAAGAAGGATTAATGGGCCTGCGGCAGAAGCATGGCATTTACAAGGGACACCAAAGCAGAAAAGCTAGACAGCAATGCCCCAGCAAACTGTTGCGGCTCAGTCCTCACTGGGAATGAGATACCCAACAGGAAGTCCGGAAGCTAAACATTCCACATGTCGCTGCACTTTTTGGTGTCCATCTTCTGTGCAGATAAAAGTGAGGTTCGGGATGCTTGACCACAAAGTCTGCAAGTCAAGTGCCATCATCTCAAGAATCAGAATAGAGCTTGGGTCCCCCTAGACTAACTCATCATGTGATTTCATTAACAGAATTAGTAGGTGAGTTTAAATTGGATATTTTATATCATTAGACCATCCACACACAAATTTGTTTTACGTAACAGTTGCAGAGCCCTGCAGGGGGAATCAAAACTGAAGATAATAGCCTCACCGGTATGATTAAAATTAATTAAACACGCATTAGTACCTTTATGCAGTTACACACTGTTGCTTTAAGTCTTTGGATTGGGCAACGCTATAATTCAAACATTCAATCATTTTAATACTTTCTGTGAATTATAAATACACCACGACCGTGCTCACTGATGCCGTAAACAAAAGATACAGTTGAAAAACACATGCTGCAATAATTAAAATGGCATTATGCTGACACCATCTTTCTTCCAGGAGCTTGTAACATCTGTATTGACTGTGATAAGCATTGATTATCTGGAGTGATGTAAATATTTGGGGAGTTAATGACAATCAGGAATTTAGGGGATGCTAAGACAGCAGAGATAAATCACAGGAAATCCAGATCAAAGCAGGATTGTGAATTAGCTTGTTTTTATAGTTAATGGCTCACTGTGAAGCGCACAGACACGTCTTTCCTCCAACAAAATGTGCAAGGAAATGCCATAGAGCAGCGGGACGCCCCGGGTAGCGTTTTCTGTACATCTGTCGAATTTCCATATGTGGAGAGGAGGATGTCGACACGGAGCACTACAAAGACTGAATTGATCCAATCCATCAAGTACTTAGCATGCACTTTCAAAATCATTACAAAGTTCTTTGAATTATTAAGACCTTTTTTCAGAAGAAAAAAAAATAGCCCCCAACTTATAAATCTTGCATTTCCTGAATGGTTAATTTAAGGATGCTAAGGTCAGCAGTAATCCAGTTCCAGTGAAGATTTTAACATTTCCCTTCAAATATAGCCTGATACTGAGCCACACGAAAGTATATATATATATAAAATCAGGGGCCGGTAAAATGGGTACAGGTGCTTGCTGCCAAGTCTGATGACCTCAGTTTAATCTCAGAGCCCACATAATGGGCTCCTCACAAACACCGTGGCCTGAGTACATGTATGTACGTGCTCACACACACATACATATACACAATAAATAAATTTAAATGTAACGAAAACATTTTAAAGTCACTCAGCATCAGCAAGGTGACACAACGTTCTCATTGTGAACCTTCCATGAGTGTGAACCTTCCACCAGTGTGAACCTTCCATCAGTGTGAACCTTCCA